CTGTTGATCATAGGGTTGATCTGATATTAACATGGAGTTATCACTGGGGCTTGGCTCTCTGTGCCTGATCAAAGAACTGAGTGAAGGCTGAGGCTGTTCTGTGCAACAGAAGCCATTTAAAATACAACCATTTTATTGTTGCTGTTATTTAGAACCATCGAGTCAAAACTGACCCATAGCTGACCTCTCGGTGGGTTTTCAAAGGCTGTTAATTGCACGGGAGGAGATTGTTCATCTTTCTCCCATGCACAGTAATTTTAGTGACTCTTAAAAGAGTCATTGGCTTAACAGCCTCCAGGGTTAGGAAAGTCCAATTTACAAAGAACTGTGTTCCTCCAGTAACAGTGGTTCAAGCCCTCACTTGCTATGCAGAAAGGTTGGCTGTTCAAATCCATTAGTCCTTATCTGGGAGGTAAATGTGGCTGTCATCTTCTGTAAATATTTACATCCCTGGAAACCCTCTGGTGAAGTTCCACTCTGCCCTATAAGGTTAGAGTAGAACTCCATATTCATCATAAGTATAAAGCAACTCAACAAAAGTGTGCATTATAATAAACTTTATTCTAGGTCTAGTTAGTAAAGAAATGTCTTGGTTTGTTGAACTTCAAAAATATTATATTTTTCAAAACATTGAGAGGCTGCAAATCACATAGTACAATGCTCATCTTTCTCCCAAGCAGTACCTGGAGGATTTGAACCATGTTTGGCATTAAAAACTCTCCACCAATTGGTCACCAGACCAAAAAGTGTGACTTTTATTGTGGTCTGAACCAAACACTTCTCTCTAAAATATGCCTATAGAGGGCTTGGCTTATTTTTTCATACAACACTAATTAACAGGTAGCTTTTCAAGTAAGGTTTGCCTCCACAATTCATTGAGAAAATGTTTATTGTTATTTTCTAGACTTGCATCTAGACTTGCATCCATTGCTGGGGTGAGGTGCCTTTGAGGCAAATACAAATACAGCTCACAGTGACTTTGTGTATAAAGAACCTTGTGTATAAAGAACCTTGTCCTATTCTACAGCAACCTCACCATCTCTGATACAGCCAAGATCACTGTTACTGTGATCACTGATCAAAGTCACTGTGCCAATCAGTCCATCTTGTTGAGGACCTTCTTCTCTGACACTTCACCTTTCCCAATATGATGTCTTTTTCCAAGAACTACTCCCTCCTGACAATATGCCCAAAGTATGTGAGACCAAGTTTCACCATCCTTGACTCTAAGGAGGCCCTCTACTGTCCTTCCTTTAAGACAGATGTATTTGTTCTTTTGGCAGTCCATGGTACACTCATTCACTTTGCCAACAAGATAATGCAAAAGTATCTGTTTTTCTTGTCATCCTTATCAACTGTCAAACTTTCAGATGTTTAAGAAGTAATTAAATAGACCGTGGCTTGGATCAGGTGCACTTTAGTTTTACACTGACATCTTTGCTCTTTAACACCTTGGAAAGGTTGTTCACAGCAGAGTTCCCCAGGAAAACATATATTTTGATTTCTTGAGTGCTTTCACCATGAATGTTTATTGTGACTGAATGAGATCTGCATTTGTTCCCAATTTTTTTTAAAAAAACACAATTATGATCCAATAGAGTGTGGAAATTGTAAAAAAAGAGTGTAAAATTACTATCACATGCAGATAAAATCTTGTTGAAGATTATTTTTTTAAAAAGTTGGAACAACAACAGCTCATCTATTAATTAGATGCTGGGGGAAGGGAAATCACAAGTTGTGTTTCTGAAATGTTTACCTGTTGAATGCCTACTTACTTTGCAGTTTCAGCTCAAGGCTTCTATATTTAACTATAAAAACACACCCATCTTCAGTGGATGTTTCTATTATTTAGGGCATCACAGAACTGCCACATAGGGTTCTCTACTGTCTTACTAACTAGAAAGGTCAATATTCAATATTAACATTAACATTAATCAAGTGAGGGAGAAAACTGAGGCTATGCCTTCCATTAATATTTATAATGAAAACCAATGAAGGAGTCCCATGAGTCAGAACTGACTCTATGAGTAAATGGATGATCTTTAAGGAAATACACTGCCACATTTTTCTTTAATGCCCAATCTATCAGCAGCCCATCTCTTAACTACTGATCCCTGGAGCACCTTACCGTTTGCTTATGTTGTTGTTATTAGGTACTGTTGAGTATGATTCATAGAAACTCTATGAATGAAAGCTCTGAACCCTGTCCTATCCTGTGCCATCCTCACAATTCTTGACACATTAGAGCCCACTGTGGCAGTCACCATGTCAATCCACCTGTTTGAGGATCTTGCTCTCCTTTGTCAACCCTCCACCCTTCATCCCTCTCCAAGAAATAGTGCCCCCTAGCAACATGCCCAAAGAATGTAAGATGAAGCCTCATCATCTTTGCCTCCAAAAAGCACTCCAGCTGCTGTTCTTTTGGCTGTCCATGGAATGTTCAGTGCTCTTCTCCAACACCACAGCTCAAAGTATATCGGCCATTCACTTCTTAAATAGCAGGCCTTTGAAAACCCTATGAACTGATTTCTCATGTTGTGGGTGTTAGGTGCTGTCGAGTTGAACATGTCTAATAGCAACCCTACGAACAAAATATCTGAACCCAACACCACAGCTCAAAGGCAACAATTGTTCTTCTGTAATCCTTATTCATTGTCCATGTCTCAGATGCACAGCTAGTAATCGAAAGACTATGGCCTGAATCAGACACCCCTTAGTCCTCAAACTGACATCATTACTCCTCAATGCTAACTTCAGATTTTCCCAGTACAATTATTTCTTGACTGCTTGTACCAAGGGTGTTAATTGTGGATCCAAGTAAAATTAAGCTGTTGACAGTTTCAATCTCCTCTCCATTCATCATGACACTGCCTATGGTAAGAGTCTTCATTGGGATGCAATCCAACTATATTTGCTGATAACTGTATTAGTACCAACTACTCCATTTTATAATTTCAAACCAAATCAAGAGTTTAAATTTAAGACACAAAACCTCTTAAGTGATTTCATTTTACTATTCAAATATTAATATCTTAAACTAGGAAAAGGAAAAAGAAGATTTTGGGGATGGTAAAATTTCACCATTAAAAAAATAGCATCTCAGTCTAGGAGAATAAGAAACTCATTTCCATCAAGTTGTAACTGTCTCATAACTGATCCTCCCAGCAAGTTTTGGAGGCTGTAAATCACAAAGGAGGAGTTGTCCTTCTTTATTCCTAGGAACCACTTGTGAATTTGGAACAATAGAGGCACCACTTTTCTGTTAGTGCTCACTGAAAGTGAGGATGATTTGAAGCGTTTGCCACAGAAGATCAAAGACTACAATCTTCAATATGGATTACATCTCAGCATCAAGAAAACTAAAATCCTCACCACCTAGCCAATAAACAACATCATGAAAGATGGAGAAAATATTTAAGTTGCCAATTATTTCATCTTACTTGGATCCAAAATCAACACCTTTGGTACCAGTAGTCAAGAAACCAAAAGGCGAGTTGCATTGAGAAATATCTGCTTGCCAGAGAACTCTCTTGAGTATTTAAGAGCAATGATATAAATTTAAGTCTAAGGTGCCCCTGATCCTAGCCACGATCTTTTCAGTTACTTGCTATGCATCTGAAAGTTGGACAATGACTAAGGACAACAGAAGACTCGATGTCTTTGAATTGCGGTGTTAGAGATGCATACTGGACATCCCAAGCACTGCTTAGAGTCCATCTTGGACTCTAGGTCCATCTTGGAGAAAGTGAAAGCAGCGTGCTCCTTGGAAGGTGGTGAAACTTTGGCTCACATACTCTGCACATGTTGGTAGGGGAGGCCAGTCCTTGGAAAAGTGCAGCAAGCTTAGAATGGTGGAGGGTCATTGTGAGAGGAAAATTCTCAACAATTTGAATAGTTATGATGATTATAACAATGAGCTCAAGTATGTTGGAAATGGTGAGGATGGCAGGATAGGGCAGGGTTCAAATTGTTGCTGAGTCGCAGTTGACTCAATGGCACATAACAACAGTGCAACTTCCTATAGACTAGGCCACTATAGCCTATAAATCTTGGTGACTGGTAGCCTAAACTAAGTTCTCACTTGCTTTGGATTTTAATTTAGCAATATTTAACATTGAATGGCAAAATAAACTTAATCTACTGCCATCTAATAATTTTTTATTGAAAATTGTAGGACAGAGTAGAACTGTTGAGTCTCAAGGCTTCAACTCTTTGGAAGATGGTATCACATCTTTCTCCTGTAGAGGTGGTGTGTGCTTAACCACTGCTACACACACACACATCCATCCCAGTCCAATTCTGTGGCGTCCGTGTGGTTATTTATTAGCAGGTTTCATTCTAATTTTGTGAGAACTGCATTCAGTAGGCATTACCGACTGGCAGTGTCATTAAGGAGTGTCTGTCTGGGATGCTTCTTCCTCCCACTACAATCATTCGGGCCTTAGCAAACATGAACAGGGCTCGAGCTACTGGCACAGGCTGAGGGCTCTGAAAATCCCCAGGAAAGACAATCACGCCACTTTTGGCGGCGTCCAAATTACAGGGAACCCCGCACTCTATTCACAGCTGTGCCAGGGACACAGGTCTCGGAAGACTTGCAACCTTCCTTCTGATTTTGCTACGGTGGCCGGCGAAGTCCTGGAGTAGCTGGCTAAGAAAGACAACGCACGCGCATTGAGGACAACCCAGCTCCTCAATTGTAGAATCCGGGGCAGGCAAGAACTACAAGTTCCCACCGCACTCCCATTTCCTAGCTGTCATCAAACGAGCTTGCTATTGGTTTAGGGACTCTAAAGCCCGCCCTCTCTCGTTGTCAATTGGCTGTCCCTTCCGAGGCCGGTGGGGAGGCGGGGTTTGGGCACCCTCAGGTTGCATCAGCTGGTTCCTTGGAGGCCACGTGGCGCAAGCGCAGTATTCCTGGACTCCCGTCTCCACTTCAAACCGGCCTCGGCCCAGGTCCCATTGAAACCTCCGGTTTTGGGTTCCCTTCCTGGTCTCTGATGTCTGAGGAGAAAGCAAGCAGTCCCGCCGGGAAGATGGGAGGTGAAGAGAAGCCGGTGAGCAGGCTCGTAGGGCCGGAGGATGGGCCTGGTGCCTAACCTCCTCGCCAGTGCCCGCGGGGAGGGGACGGGGAGCTGGAAGCGCCCGGCTGTGTGAGATTGGGGAGGCCATGGGGACTGTGGAGTTCCCGGGCAACACTGAGCCCCATAGGGAGTAGGAATCGGTCATTCAGAACCGAGTGGGACCCGGAGGTCTTCTCCAAGTCCATTGTCTTTATGCAGATGGGGGCTGTGGATTGCGGTGCTCAGAGCCACACATCGAATTGGAAATCGAGACAGAATCTGGGGGTCACTGGGCTAGTCCTTTTGAATAGCTGGATAGAACTTTATTTGATGGTAAATGAGAAAGACTGACTTATTCCTCCACTTTTTTTAATTATTATTAAATTTTATTAGTTTTAATGAACATTTACAGGGATTTTGGGTATTCCTTCGCTTTTAAAGAAGGGACCTGAGAGATGATAAAACCTGCCCAGGCTTGGGGGCCTGCATTCTCTAGCTGGCACGTTGCCCGGCCCAGCCCTGGAGGCATGTGTTACACAGTCAGGGCAATTCACGGTTCACTTCTGGGTGTCATTCTCTGCATAGGAACATTTCCCAGGTCACATTCAAACTGCGGCGTTTCACCTCTTCCTCCACCCATGATAAACAAATGTTAAGTATTTCTTTCGGCGTCTGTACACAAAAAGAAATAGTGCTCCGACCTTGAGGAGCTCACATTCTGCTGAGTCAGAGGAAAGCTCTTAACCTGGCTTGGAACCGAATTTGGATGAATGGAAGAGTGTGAGTTGACCAGGTAAACCTGAAAGGACAGGGCTTCCCAGATAAGGTTAGGGGTGGCAGTGTAAAGACACACCCAGGCCATCTACTGCAAGCAAGATTGTTTGGAATTACGTCTTGCGAGTCAAAAATTTTAGGCAGAAAGTGACAGAGGTGGACTGTATTTATAAGCTTACTGGCAGAGGAGAGCACTGGTGCCATAGTGGCAAGAAGCTGTGCTGCAATCTTGAAGGCACAAAGTTCAAATCCATCAGCTGCTCTGCCGGAGAAGGATGGGCAGCCTTCTCACATGTGGTTAACTGCCTCTGAAAACACACCAGAGGATCAGCTCTGGGTCCGTTGGACTGAGCAATGGTACACAACAGTGGCAGAGAGTCAGGGTTCGAAGTTGTATAGAAAAGAGATCAGTCCACACACCTTTGCTGTTGAAATATGAGTAAGAATTGATAATGTCTGAGAACTAACACAGCCTCAACTTCTAAGTCTTTGGTCAGAGAGAGCACTATTCTCATCAACTAGAATGAGGGAAGCCTCATTACCTTCGATGAGCCCATCCTTTCATTTGTAAAGGAAAAGGTGCTTAGAGGTTAATTCTTTCCCTCTTCACTACTCCTATTGATTTGACAAACCAAAAAATGCTTTATAAGAAAAGTGAGAATATTTTATTACTTCTCCATTTTAAATCTGCACCTACAAGCGTACAATAAATGTTTACCCAGTTTCCTTGCCTGGCCCTGTGTGTTCTGGAGTATAATGAAGGAGATATGGAGTCCTGCTTGTCATCTTGTACTTGACCATTGTTCGTCTGTTGAATATAAATGGGCCTTTAAAAAACGGGATTCAGATCTGTTGTTCACAGCATTGTTACAAGTTGTACTCCTATCGGCAGCAAATAACAACAATAAACCAAGGTCTGGAAAAGGGGGAAAAAAAGAACCCCAATAAATCCAGAATATTGGGATGAGGAATGTTTTAACTCATCTTGACATTGGAATGATATTTGCAATTTTAAAAAAATTTGTACAAATAATAGGCTTACTGTTTGGGTAAATAAGTTGTGCAAAATCTGTCCAGTAGAATATCTGTCCAGTCGAATATCGGTGCCATTGAGCTAGTTCTGACTCAAAGCAGCCATATGAAAGAGAAGAATACACTGCTGAGCCTGTTGCACCCATTGTTACAGTCATTGTCACTCCCATGTCATTGGTCATCAATAAAAACAATGGAGTGCTGATGCCTGTTACAACTTGGATGGAGGTAGATTCAAAGGACACCAATGTAGAAAAGGAAATAAAGTCCCTCTCCACTCCTCAAGAAATCAAACCATCGCCACTGATTAGATTCCAGCTCATGGAAACGTCATGTATGCCAGAGTTAGACCTGTGCTCTCTGTGGGGTTTTCAAGTGGCTGGTTTTGGCAGGTTGCTTGCATGGTTTTGCCTTGAATTACTAGGCCTTTCTGTGGAGGCACCTCTATGTGGACTTCAGCTTCTAATCTGTGTGAGATTGAGCACTCAAGCATGTTATTTTGCCCCATTCAGGGAGCCCTAAAACTCCCGTCCCTTTCGACAGCAACATCCCACCTAGAGTGTCAATCCCCAACAGAACGTGAGTGCACATTTGTCCTGCCACTTACGGATTATGTGATCCTAGAAAAATCCTCAAACATTTCCAACTTAACCCTGTTTGGAAATTGGCATAATAGTAATAGTCACCTCACAGAGGTGCTGCAAGACTGACGTGGCTGTTGGCAGAAGTACTTGTTAAGTTGTGAAATATCCCCATCGTGTACTTTGTCTTAGGATATTTCTGTTTGAGTAGCCCCAGTGAGGGTAAAGGTACCCTTTGTCATAATCCATCAAGTAGACGAGAGTTTCTCATTCTCTACATGGTTGGCTTTGTGAACTGGACAAAAATTTTTACTGTAGGGGACTGTCCAGTGCATTGTGGGGTGGTTAGCAAAATCCCTGGCCTCTGCCCACTAGCTGCTGTTCGCAACTCTCCCAGTTGTGACAATTAAAAATGTGTCAGGACATGGCTAGATGCCCTACAAGAAGCAGGATTGTTCCTTGTGGAAAGCAATAGTGTATACCAACTCTGCCAGTGGTTATCTTTCTATAGGATTTAGGCCTTAACATTTGCTGTGATTAACTGAAGGCCTCTTCCTTAGGGTAGCTTTTAGTGTTCATTGTTGCCTGAACTTTGTCAGTGTTTTGTTATTGTCTGTTGTCAGTCATTAAGCTAACAATGATTCACAACAACTCTAGGAACCCTGTCCTATCCTGTGCCATCCTAACAATCTCTGACCCCCTTGAGCCCATTGCTACAGTCACTGTGTCAATCCACCTGATTGAGGGTCTTACTCTCCTTCACCATCCCCTCGCCTTTCCAAGCATGATAGCCTTCTTCAAGGTTGGTCTCCCCTAGCAACATGCCCAAAGTATGTGAGACAAAGCTTCATCATCTTTGCCTCCAGGGAACACTGACTGCACCTTCTCCAAAATATGTCTCTGATTTTTTGGCAGTCCATGGACTATACAGCTCTCTTTTCCAACACCATGGTTCAAAGACATCAATAATTCTGTCTTCCTTACTCATTGTCCAGGTCTCAGAAGCACAGCAAGTGATTGAAAAGACCATGGCCTGAATAAGGCACACCTTTGGCCTCAAACTAACATCATTGTTCCTCAATAATTTGGAGAGGTCCCTGACTGCAGACTTTCCCGGTGCAATTTGTTCATTTGCAGTCCATGGAATATTCAACACTCTTCTCCAACACTACTTCAGAGGCCTCAATTCTTCTTTCATCCTTTTCATTGTCCACCTTTCAGATGCATGGGAAATAATTGAAACAACCATGGCTTGGATCAGGTGCACCTAAGTCTTGAGACTGACATCATTGCTCTTTGGAACTCTTAGAGAGTTCCTTGATAGCAGATTTTCTCAATGCAGCATGTCTTGACAGCTGGTAACATGGATGTTGTCAGATGAAATCATTGGCAACTTCAGTCTTTTCTCCATCTGTCATGATGGTTGGTTTCCTCTTGGTGCAGTGGTGAGGATTTTTGTTTTCTTGATGTTGAGATGTAACCCATATTGTAGTCTTTGATCTGCCCAAGAGTTTTCAAGTTCTCTTCATTTTTAGCAAGTTAAGATTGTGTCATCTGCACAGCGCAGGTTGTTGGGGAGTCTTCTTCAATCCTGATGCTATGTTTTTCTTCATATGTTATTGTTGTTGTAGGTGCTGTAGAGTCGAATACATCTCATAACGATTCCTTGTCTTATCCTGTACAATTGTCCATTGTCTCTGAGTCACTAGAGCCCAGTGCAGAAGTCACAGTGTCAATCCATCTTGTTGGGGGTCTTCCTCTGCTTTGCTGACCCTCCATCTTTCCAAACATGATGTCCTTTTCAAGGAATATCCTCACTTAGTAATGTGGCCTTTTCCCCCCCTAATTTATTTATTTTTAAGTAAGTAAACTTTTTATTTTATATTGATGCTTACAAAGTTTGTATGTATTGTTTATCACACCGATCTTTCCCATTTCCTTTACCCATCCCTCCCTCCTCTGCCCATCAAATTGTACGACCGTATGATTAACCTCCCACCTATCCTCATCCCTCTGCTCCCCTACATTGGCTCCTTATACACATTCTACAATAATGGTGTTACACAGTATTTGTCCTTGTGGGACTGAGTCAGTTCACTTAGCATAATGCTCTCCAGTCTTTCCCAAGTTAGGTAGTAATTTACAGAATCATTGCTCTTGCATGCTGTGTAGTATTCCATTGTGTGAATGTACCATAATTTCTCAATCCATTGGATTGTGGTTGGGCATTTGATCTGTTGTCATGTGTTTATGCTAGTGAATCATGCTGCTATCAACATTGGTGTACAAGTCTCCATTTGTGCCTCAGTTCTCATTTTCTTGGGGTATAGTCCAAGTAGTGGAATAGCTAGGTCATAATGGAATTTCTATATTCAGCTTTCTGAGTAAATACAAAACTGCCTTCCAGAGTGGTTGTACCATTTTACAGTCCCGCCAACAATGTAACCAACAGTGTATAAGAATAACTATCTTGTCATATCCTCTCCAACATTTATTACTTGCTGTCCTGTTAAACTTTGCCACTGCTACTAGGGTGAGATGGTTTCTCATTTACATGGTTTTTTTTAATGATCAGCATAGGGATTAACTAGGTGTAGAGGAAGGAAACAGCCCTGACATACACCTTTCCTGATTTAAAACCCTGTAGTCAGGTTTCATTCTGGAGCTTACTAGTCTTTGGTCTTTTACTAAAGATTTTCCAAAGTTGCAGCCATTATGATTTCTGCAATTGGGAAAGATCTTTCATCTGCATTGTTCTGTAAAATGCTTGTCTGTCAGATATTTTTCTAAATCTGAGCATTCAGATTAAGACAGACTAGGAAGAAGGATTGGCCATCCACTTCTGAAATAGCAGGCCTTCGAAAACCCAATGTACTATAGGACACACTTAGACCAGCAGGTAGTACGGCAGATGTGGAACTTTCAAGTATTCAGTGACTGGGTAATGGGGGTAGGTGTGTCGGAGATGGTGAGATTGGCGCAGGATAGGGCAGAGTTTAAGGCTGTTGTATGTAGGGTCGCTATGAGTGAAAGGCGACTTGATGGCACATAACAACAGTCTAGTGTTATTGTTGTCATATGCTGTCCAGTCAGACCTGACTCATGTCTGACTTTCAATCACACAAGAGTTGATTTCCCATCTTTCTCCTCTGAAGCAGCTGGTAGATTTGAACCATGTGCCTTTGGGTTAGCAGTGCAACTCCTTACCATTAAGCCACTAGAGCTCCTTATTGTTCTATATTGCCCATCTTAACCTGAAACAAATCATGGCAATGGACAGAAGAAGAAAATTTGAGGGCCTGAAATTGCCATGTGACTGCCTTCACCTCTGTTAGACCTTGACTTATTTATTCTATTCTTGACTTATCTATTCTTGACTACTTTATTCTAAGTTACTGTTTTGCTAGTGGTGAAGTTTTCTAGTCTTTAAAAATCAGAGTTTGCAATTTGTTTTTCTTCCTTTTCTTTTTATTTAAAGTATAGATGTTAAAATAATACCCTCACCACATTTGGAAACAGGATTCTGGCTTGGAACTGGATTAAAAACTTGCAAATTTTTTTTTCTGATTTAGGTAGGTGCCGGTGAGGAGAAGCGAAAAGAAGGAGGCAAGAAGAAGAATAAAGAAGGTTCTGGGCATGGAGGTCGAGCAGAGGTAACTATTTCCAGACTTTTCTCAGTGGTCAGTGCTGGGAACCATCACATTCGCTCTTCCACATAAGGAATCCTGTGGTTTATAGGGGGCTGCACTGCACGATGATAAGCCGTTGAGTCCAATTCAGTGACCCTCTGTGACAGTAGCTCAGCCCCATAAGGTTTCCAGGCCAATCTTTATGGAAACAGACAGTCTCCCCACAGAGGAGAGCTTGACGAGCTCAAACCAGAGACCTTTCGATTAGCAGCCAAGCACTAAGGCATGTGCCACCAGGGCTTCTTGTAAGATGATACTTGAGAAATCAAGGAGAAAAATTATGAAAGGGTAGCTGGAAAGGGAAATGAAGATGTACTGTTACTTGTTACGGCAACAAGGAAACCAACTGGAACGTGAATCCTAAATAACCCGATTGTGAGGTTATCATTTGCACAGCAAAGTTTGGACTAGTTAATTACTCATTTTCAAGATTGAATGCCAGCTTTCTGATTGGCTCCTTAAATGAGATAATAAGGGGTAGAGGCTTGGTGTTTATACAAAACACAAGAGAAACAAACCAACCAACGAAAAACCTCAACGCCTTTATTCCTTGGTTTCCTTTAAATGGGATCTGTACATGTGCTAGGGTTTGTTTCCGAGTCAGGATAGATTCTCTCTAAGCTGCTCAAGTCCAGAGAAAATCCTTTCTCTTAGTTACGTGGGCTCACAGTAGATGGACCAAGTATCTTCCAGAGCAGCTCAGGATCGTCCTGCTTCCTGGGTGTCTTGCTTTAGAAGGCAGTTAAGCTTGTATCTTCCTGAAGTGGAACTGCTCTGTACTCTGCCCTACTTTTTTACTTTAGTCTTCAGAGTCATTTAGTAGTCATCGTTTTATTGAGGACTCTTCAAAAGAATTACACCATAATGCAGGAGCACAAAGGAGCAGGCTCTATAGAAGTATAGACAGTAGCACAAGTAGTTTTGGTGGCACACGTAGTGGTGTTTTGAGTTGTGCTGCCAGCCAGAAAGTCAGCAGTTCAAATCCACCTGCTCTTCCACAGGAGAAAAATGGCAGTCTGCTCCTCAGAAACCCAGTGGGGGATGGTCACTAGGAATCAGAGTCTATTCTGGTCCAGCACAGTACATTGATTTAAGGAACCACTTTACTAAATACACTTGTTAAATTTGGGGGTATTGTCTATCTGTGTTTCATTGATTATGCAAAGGCATTTGACTGTGTGGATCATAACAAACTGTGGCTGACTCTGAGAAGAACGGGAATCCCAGAACATTTAATTGTGCTAATGCAAAACCTGTACTTGGACCAAGAGTCAGTAGTCAGAACAGAGCAGGGTAACACTGCATGGTTCAAAATTGGGAAGGGTGTACACCAGGGATGCATCCTGTCTCCATACCTTTTCAACATGTATGCAGAGCAGATTGTCTGAGAAGCTGGGCTCTATGAGGAGAATTGTGGCATCAGGATTGGTGGAAGATCTATTAACAATCTGTGTTATGCAGATGATACAACCCTGCTTGCTAAAACTGAGGAGGACCTCATGCACTTGCTGCGAAGGGTCAAGGACTGCAGCCTTCAGTATGGACTGAGGCTCAATGTCAAGAAGACAAAGATTCTCACCACTGGACCAACTGGCAGCGTCAGGATGGATGGCGAAGAGATTGAGATTGTTCACAGCTTCAGTTTGCTTGGCTCCACAGTCAACACTCTTGGCACCAGCAGTCAGGAAATCAAAAAGCGTATCGCGATGGGAAAGTCTGTTGTTAGGGACCTCTCTAAAGTACTCAGGAACAACGGTGTCTCTCTGGAGACTAAGGTGCGCCTGATACAGGCCATGGTATTTGCAATCGCTTGTTATGCATCAGAGAGTTGGACAATGACTAGGGAGGACAGAAGGAGAGTGGATGCTTTTGAGCTGTGGTGCTGGAGAAGAGTACTGAATGTACCATGGACTGCCAGGAAAACAAACAGATTCATTTTGGAGAGGATTAAACCAAACTACTCCTTGGAGGCAAGGATTCTGGGGCTTCGTCTGACATACTTTGGACACGTTGCAAGGAGGGACGGATCCTTGGAGAGGGACATCATGCTTGGGAGGGTGGAGGGACAGCGCAGGAGGGGAAGACCCTCTATGAGATGGATTGATTCGGTGACTGGGGTAATCGGGATGGGTGTGTCAGAGGCAGTGCGGTTGGCGCAGGATAGAGCAGGGTTTAGGGCTGTTGTGCATAGGGTTGCTATGAGTCGAAAACGACTCGACAGCAAATAACAACAACAACATTTCCCTATTTACTTAACGGCAGGTATTTAGGAGAACACATGTAGCATGGCTTATCTCCCTGCCTGACCATAACCCAGGTGCTTACTCAGCCTCCTCCTGTCCACTGTTCCCACCAGAGTTGTGGGGGGAAAGTGTTGATTGTGAATTTTAATTATTTCTAAGAGAAAACACAATGTTCCCTGATTTATTTTTATACTTTCAGTATAGTAGTAAATCCTGTTGTCACAGGCTTGACAATTAGCCCAGAAACCAGACACAAAACGTGTAATTATAGAACTGTTCTGAATAGAGACTTTTAAGTGGAGCCGTAGCCTGTACAGTAAAAAGTTTAAGACCTCCTCCTCTGTACTCCCATCATTTTGTGCTTGTTCACACTTAGGGCAGTGTGTAGGCCTTTAATCATCTTATTCCCAAAGTCTAGCACAAAGGAGTTGTTTTCTAGTGATAATAATGGTGATAAATTACCTTTAACACCAGGGAGATTTATTAAGCACAGAATACGAATGAGGATGGTGAGGGCTGCACTGCTGTGGCAGAGGCAGGACCAGGTGAGAATTACTGGGTTCAGACTGTGATGGTCCTGTGACAGGGTACTCCCTGTTAATTTAGCTGTTCTTCACTGTTGAGGGTTGTGTTGTGATGTGATGATGTGATGTGATAAAATGTGATAAGATAAAAAGTTCCCAGAAGCACCTGAATCCTGAAAAGGATAGACTGCAATAGGATGGAGGTATAAAGATTGTTGTTATTATTGTTGTTATGTGCTGTTGAGTCACCTGTGACTCATAGCAACCCTGTGTACAATAGCCCTAAACACTGCTCTAGCCTGTGCCAATCTCACTGTCTGTGACACACCTACCCCCATTACCCTAGTCACTGAATCAATCCAGCTCATTGAGGGTCTTCCTCTCCTGAACTGTCCCTCTACCCTCCCAAGCATGATGTCCCTCTCTAAGGACCAGTCCCTTCTTGTAACATGTCCAAAGTATGCTTCAGAACCCTTACCTACAAGGAGCAGTATGGCTTAACTCTCTCCAGAACAAACCTGTTTGTTTTCTTAGCAGTCATGTTATATTCAGTACTCTTCTCCAACACCACAGCTCAAAGGCATCAATTCTCCTTCTATCATCTTTAGTCATTGTCCAGCTTTCTTTTCTTTTTTTATCATTATTAAATTTTATTAGTTTTAATGAACATTTACAGACATTTTGGGTTTTCATTCATTCATTGTTGCACTGTTTTCTCCACCCTCCTCCCCAGTTCGTTCTTCTTTCACCCCCACCAATGTCTGTTTTAATTGTCCAATTGCCATAGTGCTTGTCAAAGCCAGTTCTCATTAATCTCCTTTGTCAGTGTGTCCCTTGCCATTCCCTATCACTCCTCCCTGAGAGAGACTTCACCCTGATTCATAAGGAAAAGGGGATGG